CAGTGTTATAGAAAATCATTGGCTAATCTTAGGTTTAGTCCCTAAATCTGTGGCTAGGCTAGGAGGATACTGGCTCCCACTTCAGAGCTCCCACTTCCCTTCCCCTGAAAGCTAACTCTTACTTTAGTTTTTAAACACTAAGATCAAATTGGGGGTTTTTAGTCTGTCACCCTAGAAATCTCCAATTCTACACCCAACAAAGTATATTTCTCCATTTATTTGTACTTAATCCCATGAACGAAATATTTATTCATGAACTTAAATGTGATTCTTATTCTGTTATAGAACTCATACTCCATTTCCCATATCATATGTTTCACAATATATTTTAACAATTTAATTGGCCAGATCGAAGAGTAAATTAAGAGCGGAGTTGAAAAACCATCACAATTTATAATTAAAACTTCTTTTAGCATGCATCTCAATATCCTAAACATTAATCCTATTGAATTCTGCTCATTTCAAAAGAAAAGTAAAAAGAAAATAACGACATAATCTTCTCATACCGCTATTTCCACAAAAAAAAGAAAGAGTAAGAGAAATACATCACAAAGCACGAAGAAAACACAACAAAGTAAATCCACTAGATAAGGTTTTACAAAATCATAAGATAATGAAGAACACAATACTTAGATTTTTCTCCTTGAAAGAAAGATGAAAACCTCTTCCACAGAGTCTCCCGCTGATCCATGCAATGCTAGAACATTCCCTTACAGATTCTCTCAAAATCCCCTCACCAATCTCTCCAAAAAGGTAGAAATCTACATTTCTACTCCTATTCTAAAATCTTTAAACATTCTTCACATTTTTCCACTCACACACACCACTTTGTTTGACATAAAAACACTTTATTATAGTGTAGTAACGAATTCCCCAAGAGATGCCTCAAGCAACCTTCCAAAAAGCGTCCAAATATATTAAATCTTCTAGAAATTTGCCCAGGATCGCGTCCAAAGCATCTTGGGCGCTGTTGGCGTCGTTTTAGCCTCATTTTCTGCACTCTGGCGCTGTCAGCGCCGGTTTTGGCGCCGTTGACGCCCACCCTGCGTAGTTCCACCATTTTGCTTCATCTGGCCCTGTTTTAGCTCTATTTCTCCCTATTTCAGTTGTGTTGTGTTTCTAACAAATAGACATACAATATAAACATAAAAATAACCTTCCTTTAAAGTGTAATTTCATTCAAAAGTGTGTGAGAAGTGTAAAAAAAATTAAACATAGAAAGACATATCGAAATGGACAGTACAAAATTTTCTTTCTTGCTCGTTTTTGCTCCAAATTGCACCGTTTTTTCTTCTTTTTTCTCCAATACTCAATTTCTTGTCCCTGAAACCAAAAATATACAAAATACATTCCTTTAAAGTGCAATATCATTGAAAATCAGGTGTTAAAAGCATATGAAAAATTGAACCTTTTTTAGGAGTATCAGTGGTGTGGGAGAGTTGTGTAGCGTCAAGGTGGCGGTCTATTAATGTGTTGGTGTGGTGTGGAGGTGGTGATGTGTAGTGTGGAGGTGATGTTGTAGAGTGGTTGTGTGATGAGGAGGTGGTGGTGTGTGACGAGGATGTGGTGGTGTGTGATGTGGAGGAAGTGGTGTGGTTTTTTGATGTGTTGGTGTGTGGTGTGGAGGAGGTGGTGTGGTGTGTGGATGTGTTGGTGTGGATGTGTTGGTGTCTTGATGTGTCTGTGTGTAGAGGTGTTGGTGTGAAGGTTGTGGTGATGATACTGTGGCATTCTAATTTTTCTTTGATATGTGATAGTGTGGTTTTCTTATTTATAGTAATTACTTTTTTCTCCTACTAGTAATACAATGGTTAAGACAAAAGAGACTCGTTCATCTACAATGTGAGATAAAGAGACAAAATTAATATTTTGTGATATTTGCCTCAAAGAGGTAGATCTGGGAAATATGCCGACAACCCATTTCAACAAGGAAGGGTGGCAAAATATTATTAGAAAATTTAAGGAAAGTACACACAGAGAGTATGATATGATGCAATTAAAAAATAAGTGAGATCAACTCAAGAAGAATTGAAAAATCTTGAAGGAATTGAAGCGAGGATCAATGGGTCTAGGGTGAGATTTAGTAAAGCGAACGATTGATGCTTTTGAGGAGTGTTAGGCAGAGAGACTTGCGGTGAGCATTTCTAAAATGTCTCATATTTTGTTCAATTTCAATTTGTAATTTGTTTTTATGTAATTTGTTTTTAAATTGAAGTACATTTTATATGAATTTGTAGGTGGTGCTTGCTGCGAAAAAAAATTAAATACAGTGGAATTGATTCTGAGTTGGAGAAGTTGGATTGTATGTTTGGGGGAGTCGTGACAACGAACAACAATGCATGCGCTCTTAGTGAGGCAGGGTTTGGTGGCATCCCCGAACATTTGGGAGCCGACCAATTGGGTGATTCCACTGAAGTCCCTAACCTGGACCTCAATGAACTAGATTCAACAAGCCATTCTAAGCATCTGCGGGTCAAAAATAAAAAGAAAATGGTGTTACTTTCCTTTGAACCCAGATATCACAACTGGTGGGTTCATGCCACATCTCAAGCAACTTCTGTCCAGCAGGTTCTGCATGTCCAGCAGGTTCTGCAACTTCTGTCCAGCAGGTTCTGCAAATTCTGAATGCAACTCCAGAAATTTCTGAGGACTTTCTGTTATATTTGTTTTCAATGGAGTTGCTTAAAGATTCGACCTAGAGAGATTTTTTTATCAGGATGCCTACTTACTGTAGGGTGGTGTA